AGGAATGTCAGACGTGTAAACATGTTTATAGTTTTGTTCTGTCTTCTTAGCTATTGTTATATGGCTTGACAAAACTTCAGACTGTTGAAGGTGCTAATATTAAAAATGACATAGTTGAATAAATGTCTTTTCTGTTTAGCTTATTTACAACTTCTAAAATCTGGATGAAAGATGACAAAAATATATAAAACGCAGAAACTTACTTAGGTGAGATTTATTATAAGCCTTCTATTTTAAGTTTATATAAAAAAAAAGCTTCACATTTCACAAGGTACCTGTAGCCCAAAGTTCTTTTAATGTTTGTCTGGGAAATGCTCTGCTTCTCTTCCAGTGGGATAGACTTGGCTTTTTACTGAAGCAGCTTGTCCTGGAGGCCATCATCAAGCAAGTGGAAGAAGAGAAGGTTATCAGGAGTAGTCAGCATGGATTCATCAAGGGGAAATCATGCCTGACCAATCTAATAGCTTTCTACGATGAAATGACTGGCTGGGTAGACGAAGGGAGAGCCGTGGATGTTGTCTACCTTGACTTCAGCAAGGCTTTCGACACAGTCTCCCATGATATCCTCCTAGGGAAGCTCAGGAAGTGTGGGCTGTACCCTCAGCAAGTTTGCTGACGACACCAAACTGGGAGGTGTGGTAGATACACCAGAAGGCTGTGCTGCCATTCAGCGTGACCTGGATAGGCTGGGGAGGTGGGCAGAGAGGAACCTGATGAGGTTCAACAAGGGCAAGTGCAGGGTCCTGCACCTGGGGAGGAACAACCTCATGCACCAGTACAGGCTTGGGGTGGACCTGCTGGAGAGCAGCTCTGCGGAGGGGGGCCTGGGTGTCCTGGTGGACGACAGGTTAACCATGAGCCAGCAGTGTGCCCTGGCTGCCAAGAAAGCCAATGGGATCCTGGGGTGCATCAAGAAGAGTGTGGCCAGCAGGACAAGGGAGGTTCTCCTTCCCCTCTACACTGCCCTGGTGAGGCCTCATCTGGAGTACTGTGTCCAGTTCTGGGCTCCCCAGTTCAAGAAGGATGAAGAGCTACTGGAGAGAGTCCAGCGGAGGGCTACAAGGATGGTGAGGGGACTTGGAACATGTTCCATATGAGGAAAGGCTGAGGGAGCTGGGCTTGTTCAGCCTGAAGAAGAGAAGGCTGCGAGGGGACCTTATAAATGCTTACAAATATCTGAAGGGTGGGTGTCAGGAGGATGGGGCCAAGCTCTTTTCAGTGGTGCCCAGCGACAGGACAAGGGGCAATGGGCACAAACTGAGGCACAGGAAGTTCCGTCTGAACATGAGGAAGAACTTCTTCCCTCTGAGGGTGACAGAGCCCTGGAACAGGCTGCCCAGGGAGGTTGTGGAGTCTCCTTCTCTGGAGATATTCAAGACCCACCTGGACAAGGTCCTGTGCAGCCTGCTGTAGGTGACCCTGCTTCGGCAGGAGGATTGGACTAGATGACCCACAGAGGTCCCTTCCAACCCCTACCATTCTGTGATTCTGTGATTCTGTGATACTAAGGTGATGAGAAAACTATGCTGGAATTCAACTAGGCTTTCTATATCAAAGGCTTCTATTGTAGAAATACGATATATTTAGTAACCGTGAATGTTGCTTAACATCTGTACAAAAGGATTTTTTAAGCCTTTGCACTATGCAGTTTGTAACTATCCCTCCCGAGTTTATGCACAAAAAAAAATTACGAGCTCAATTAGAATAAACTTTAGAATTTAACTTTTTTTTTTAATCTGGAAATTGAGCACTTTGAGCACTTGCTTTCATATAGTATCCTGTTTAATGTATCTACTGACACTAACATCCATATGCATTTCTAGTTCTTACGCTTCCAGTTGTCTCTTCCAGCACTGTTTGGGCAAGATTCCTGGATCATCCTGGTAAAATTACGGCTGTTTGGTGATAAGAGGCCATAATGTATCTTTTACTCTCTGGATCACTTACCTTATGGGGTGATGCAGGAAGAGAAGCAGATCTGAAGAGCTATAAGTAGGATGATGAGAAGCAGTGGAACAGATCAGGGAATAGACTGATGCTGGCTGTGTGCCTTTTGTACTAATAGAGTGTGCTCTGTGCCAAATACAGTTTATTTCCTTCCTGAAACACTGAGAAAATTGAGGGAGAATGTGTGGTCCAAAGTATGGCTTGTGACACAGCTGTAGTCAAGTCTTGCACAATTTGCAAAACCAGACTAATCTTGTGGAATGTGATTAAAAATTTTCAGCCTTGTCAGTTCAACTTGAGTTGATGTAGTTGGTTGTTGATTTGTTGAGTCATGATAACCTCTGGTGTGAACAAGCCCTGCCACTTGGAATTTATTAGCTGTGGTGCAGAACTCTGAATATAACTAGAGAGCTTTCAGTTCTGAAGTTGGTTTGGTTACAGTGTGGTGTTGGTGTGGAGCTCTGCTGCATGAGCCATGTCCAAAGGATCTCTGTATGTTCAGAGACCTTTGTTCACTATTGCTTTAAACAGGACCCCAAGTGGAGCAACTCAAAGGATCAGGGTTGGCTAGAAATGTTGCTAGATAGATTGTAACAGCATGCTGAAAAAAAGGAATTTTAAACTTAGGAGGATACTTGGAGACTGTGTATTTGCATATTTTTGAATTCTTTGATTCAAAAATATTTAAATCAGTATTCATAGCTTTGGTGAATTTTAGCTGTTTCATGATAAAGCCCCTATGGAGTCATCAACATTTTATTCCTATTTTATCATAGCCAGGCTATGTAATGATACAGATATTTGAAAAAAGTAATTTATTTTACTCTCTGTATATTGTAGATATCTAAAACAAGCTAAACTGCCACTCAGGTTTCTGAGGTGTATATGGAAATAGATAAAAATTTTAAACTAACTAAAAAAATTCCATGGGTTTTTTTTCTGTCAGTGTACATGTGAGTATTCTTCGCTTTGTTTGTGGCAGCAGAATCCCCTGGCCTCTGGGACCAGGGGGGTGATTTTTCCCCTCCAATCCAAAGGATCCAAGGCTGCTGTGATTCTGTATCCACAAGCCCGTAACAGTACAAAAGAATACCCGTGTGTGCACCGACACGCAATACAAACACACACGTGGCCAGCCACAAGTCAGCGTGGGGAGAGAGCGGTGCCTTTACTGGCACCTGTGTAAATAAGAGTGCTGTGCTTCGGGTGTTGGAGCTCCACCCACCTCCTGCTTTCCAGCCGGCCAGGGTTGAAGTTCACCCGCAGCGTGGGTCTCTGTCTCCCCCAGCTGCTGGCCCCCAGACCCTCGAGTCCCTCAGACGTGTGGTCCTGCTCCGGTGGCTTATTCATGTTCTTCCACTCGTGGGCTAGTCCCCCTTGAAGTTTGCCAGCCTTGACATGGACACGCATGCAAGACCAGTTAGAAATACGATGTAATAAGAATATCAGAGAGACTGCAGCGAGGAAGTGCAGGGCTCATGTACCAAAGCGTAATCAGTAATCTGTTTACATGGGACTGGCCCACTGTATCCTCTTTGTCCTTGGTTTTTCCATGCTTGTTTCTCCCCAGTCTACCTTAGTCCCTGCCTTTACACACCTTTGGTGCTTCGCTTAAACATCCCATAGTAAGTTTTGCACGTTGCTGCTATCCCCTTAAAAAAAATCCTATAATAAATTTTACATGGGCCCCAAATACTCCCTGTTCTGTCCCTAAATTCTCAATTCCCCGTGTTCTGTAAGAAGTCTGATACCCCTTTAGATAACCCCTCAGTTTGCACGGCTTTCTAGGGAGTGTCCTACACTTCTTGTGGGTTTTGCACCAAGGACAACGATTGAATCATTCTCCTTCGATGGTTTTAGGACTAGTGAGTCAGTGTGCTCAGTTTTTACTAATGGTTCTTCTGATTCTTGCCATGGTTTTGTGTTTAATTTGCTTAGCCTTTAGTTGGATAATCTAACACGCTGTCTTATATGAAAATATCTCTGCAGTGTCTTCTGATCACAGAATCACAGAATAGTAGGGGTTGGAAGGGACCTCTGTGGGTCATCTAGTCCAACCCTCCTGCCGAAGCAGGGTCACCTACAGCAGGCTGCACAGGACCTTGTCCAGGCGGGTCTTGGATATTTTCAAAGGAGAGGCAGCCTGTGCCAGTGCTCCGTCATCCTCAGAGGGAAGAAGTTCTTCCTCATGTTCAGACGGAAATCTGATCCTAGTTACTGGACCAAGAATGTGTACATTGGAGTAGAATTCGTCTTAACTGTAGATGTCTACAATACAGGCATGGCAAACAGCTTTGTGTACCTGAGCTTGCTCTCTGTTCGGTGGAGATAAATAGTTTCTTTTAGGGGACATTTCTCCCATGCTTCAGACATTGATGTTATGGTTTAAAACTTCATTTGATTTTATAATTAACAGTGT